AGCTAACAGATATGCTAATTATGTTAAATATGATATAAATAATAATAATAATAGATATAATAAAGATATAATAAATGGTATATGTGTCCTATTTGGCAGATATGTCATATTTAACAGATATGGCATATTTGGCATATATGTCATATTTGACAGGTCTGTCAGTTTCTGCCAGTTTCAACATTAAAAATAAACTAAAATTTGACCTATTTTATTTATAATGATTTACATCCGATTAGCATACATTAGAAATTGGTCAAGAATTGGCTAAAATTCAACCTATTTTATTTATAACTGATTGATGTCTGATTACATCTGTTGGTATACATCAAAAATAGATTAAAATATTTTAAAATAAAATAAAATTCAGAAGGAAATATAACTGATATTTAGGATTAACAGCCAAATAATACTAAAAACATTCAATTTATTTTTACAAATCACTGGTCAAATTATAAGAAATCAGGTTATAGCAAATAATACAAATATCAGAAATATATCAGAAACCGGTATGATAATTTCAGCAATCATATAGATATCAGTAGTCAACAAGTTACCAATATTTTATTAATTATATATTGATTTCTCAAAAGTAGTATCATTAAAATATTTGTAAATTTTAATTAAATTATCAGTAATCCTATTGTTTAATGATATTTATAATATAGTATTCTGATTTTTTAAATGTAGTATCAGTAAAATATAAAATCCTGATATCTTATTAGTTAGACAATAATTAAAGTATCATTGACCCATTAAATCATTAGATAAATATATCAAATATAAAATTTAATTAACACTGGAAATCTTTTAAATATATCTATAATCAAGTAAGTTCAGATTGATATTTGCAAATTAATTTTTATATATGAATTTTTCTGTTGATAAGAATAACTGACATATATTCTTTTGGTGTTTTTTTGCTAATTTTCATCGTTTCAGAAATGAAACGTCCTAAAATGTTATGTATTGGTATGATACAATCACGACTTAATTCATAAAACCCTTTTTTCCATAATTTAATATTACAAATGTTTACTCCGTCTTCATTTGTTCGACAATGAAATCTGCTTCTTTGATTATCTGCTACTCTATACCATCTAACAAAGACCAAAGAATGTGTCACTGACCCTTTTCTTGATAAACCTATTGAATGTTCAAAAAAGAATTGAACCTGGCCATGATAGATGTTTATTGTATTATCATCTAAAATAAATTGCAATAGTATATTTGCTGACCTAATATATCTTATTGAAAGTTTTGAACCAATTACTTCAGCTCTGAGTCTTAGTCTAGAAAATTGGTTTATTCTTGATGAAACTACAATTGACTCTTTCGATAAGTTATGAATATCTGATAAGCTTACAAAAGAATATTCATATGCATTATAATAATATTCGATTAATAATACCAGAATTTTTTGTGATAAACTTATATTTTTTTTCATCAGTTTAAGAAACTCTCCTGGAAAAGGTTCTGATCCCGTTCCTGCCTTTTCTTTTACATTCTTCGACATTGCCAAAAATTCTGAATAATTCACTAGATCAAAATTTTTATTAGCCGCAAGACTACTGACTGTTTCTTTAAATGCGATATAAGTTAGACATTCTGAAATATATTGATTTTCATTGACATATAATGATAATTCATCAAGAGCAGAATAATTTTGAAGGATTCTAAGTAATTCTGGTTCGATATTTCGATTACTGTTATGTAAAGAACTTGTAAAAAAATAAATAAATAAATATCAGAAATATTATAGATAAATCGGACATTTTAATTGAAATTAAATTATCTAATAGCCCATTCATTCGTTCAAAATCATAACACCAAGAGGAATACAACAGACCATAGTCAAATGCACATTCGCATATATGCAAGCACATATGCATATTTGGAGAAATCTTTTCTAGCCTATAATATTGTTCAACAAGTTTTACCATAGATAAAAGACATTCATATGCTTCTTTTAATCCTGACTCGGAAATAATTTGACATATAAGAATGTTACATGCTTATACAAAATAGCTTAATATTTCTCTATCCACTCCTTGAAGTAAATCCCAGGTAATTGTGGTAGCATATATGAGAAAAAATGTCTTCCATTGATCAGCAGTAAATTCTGAGAAGCCTTCCCCTATCACTATTTTATTTAAAATTCTATCGATATCTGATAGCACCTTTAACTTATTAGCTCATTCTTGCATCATTTCTAAATTTTTCAGCGTTAATTGGCTCTTTTTAATCCATAAATGTGTTATGATTCATTTGGAAATGCCTAGAAATAGACAGTGCATTAGATCTACTATAAGAAACTATACAGGATCGAAGTATTGTAAGCGATATATCTCAGACTATCTCACCAATTTTTCTGATACATGCTTCTGGCATTGATTTTCCATTTTGCAATTCTTCCATGAATTAGCATTATCTCTTAATTCTTTGACATCTCTTTGCACAAACCATTCTTTTATATCATCAAATTTGCCAAAATTTGTATGATATTTACTTTCTATATTGGCTCTCTTTTTGCACCTATGACATGCAATTTTAGCTGATATATACCTGCAAAGCTTTCTAGTCTCAGGTATATCACACGCATAATATATAACTGCCACTCGTACATTTTTACTTGTAGGGCTTTCATAAGTACTAGGTAATTTGACTCCTTTCCATAATTTAATCAACTGATCGATTATAAGTACCAAGTAATGATTAAAAAGATGTAGCCTTGGCTCTTTAGGATCAAAAAATACAGCTAAAGTAATTACATTAGAAGTCTTAAACCTTTCACTTCATGGAAGGTTGCATATTATTCCATACATGACTCCTATACTATATTGTGAATTATCGAAAGGTTGAAACCAATCAAGGTTCAACATAATTCTGATATTATTATCTGCAACTTCATGTCGAAAAAATAATGAATTATTACTTGGATCTTTAAACGTTTTTCAAATCTTCCTATCATATATATCTGTTAACTCTTGACCATTACGTCGTACTGTCCACTTTCTACAGTAGCAGTCATAAGTATCTGACCACCCGAGATCGTCCAAAATTATTATATAACTACCCCTTAAATTTTCCAGAAATATAATAT